TTGGGTTATTTCTGTCATTCTCAAGGTTACTTACACTTGCGTTAACTGACAACAGGCCTTTACCTGTAAAAATTAAGGGATGACTCGCCTTGCAAATCTTTCAATCGAAAATCTTATTTTAAGGATTTTTTAAAATAATGATGCACATTAATTAATGTGCATTATTTACTTAATTAATCGTTAATTATCATCAATCATTAATTAAGTGGTAAAAATCGTTAAAACCTGTGTGACGTAGGGACATGTGTATTTTGTGCGCGTTTAAATTAATTTGGGGATAGTTCAACATAATTTTATCTGGAAATTCCCTTCAATAATGTTTTTTAGAACATCTGGTTTAATGCAACTCGCAATGCAGGTATTGCGGAGCTGCGGTATGGCTGGGTTCGTAGGCAGGTCGTGGTGGGCATTTTTCCAATATAATGTCCGTATTGTAAAATTTACATTCTATAATAAAGTTCAATAATTCTTTAATAACATTGCTGAAGAGGTTAATACCTTGTAATAAATTGAGAAAAAATCTAATTCTAGACATCTCTTGCTATTATTGTAAAGTGGGTTATAGAAATTAATACATTGAGAGGCAGATTTTTATCAAAATGAATATTCTCCGATCGATCTAGGATGTCACAGACACTTTAATTTGAAAAGCGTCACTTACTGTTTTGGGCGTGTCTTATATTTAGCTTCTAGAGCATTTTCAAAATAATCACAAAGATGGCTTAAAAAGTTTCTTCACTTACATGCTGTGATGTATGATTATAAAAAGAATGATTTTAAAATTACGATTATTCAAATGGTGCAGAACCGTTTTTCAATAAAACCTCGATCATTTCGTAAAGTTGCGAAGGTTAAAAATTGTTTCGAACGTGTCCTACACTCTTAACATTGAAGTAAGAGATTTTTTCCTATTGAAATGTTTTCCTTAATAATATATCTTTAAATTATTAATTTATATAAGAACACCTTTTTCAAAATTGTAATAATATTTACGTGATTTTGTGTTATACACTTATGGTGTATTGTGACTACATTTACTTTTGTTAACATTTCTCACTTCTTCAAAATTGAAACTAGATTTCTGTCTTAATGCAGTCTATTCTTTAATATTTTCCCTGTAAATTATTTCATGTTCAGTTGTTCGAAAATATTAGTAACTTTTTTCAGATAATTTTTGAAATTTTCAAAACGGAACATCGGCAACGGCATCAACATTGGAGATAGTATCTAAGGGATGCACCAAGTACCCCTGCGTGGTTCTCTTGGTAGTTCATTTGCTAAGGAAGGGGGTGTCTTATATATATATATATATATATATATATATATATATTATATAATATATATATATAATACCATGCATTTATTTACAGACGAGCCATTTTCATTAATATTTTTGAGTTTTCAAAACTAAAAAAAAATTATCGACTTCTTTTGGATTATTTCGGTAAGAGGTTCTCAAGAGAAAGTGAAGTGTTAGTAGGATCGGAGTTGCATTATTATTATTATTATTATTATTATTATTATTATTATTATTATTATTATTATTATTATTATTATTATTATTATTATTATTATTATTATTATTATTATTATTATTATTATTATTATTATTATTATTATCTTACATTATTCACAGTATCTACTGGTCGGTATGTCAACCACACACAGGTATGATGACCAGGTGTGTGGTTGCTTTACTGAACATTCAGATGGCTTCTGACAATACGGCATGTATTCAAAATTACTGTCTTTTGCATATTATATCCATTTCTGGTATCCAAGTGAAGACACTCCAGTGCCCGAAGTGTCATTTTGCGGATCACTCCGTAGCTGATATTATTATAGCACAGTTGTCATTTACTGAAGTTCCACTGAGTTGCGACTTCATAGGCGAGATCGGTATACTTCTGGATCTTCTCTTGATATTTTCCCGATATGTTGTGGGTATTGGGTATTGATATATCGATAAGGAAAACCTGCTGTTGGTTTCTATCAATTGTACGTTATATCGGGTCTATTGCCGCCGACATGTCTGTCAGTGATAATGGAACGATCCAGTAGAGTGTGTGCTCACTACTTTCAAGCACATTCTGAGGCACATATTTATAATAGGCACGGAAGTGGCGAGTAAGCCCGTTCTTCAACGCCAATAATTGGTGTACCTGCTTCGCCACTTCATCATGCCTCTTTTTGTATTCCACTGTGCGTGGCTGCTACATCCACTTGTTACGTGTTGGATAGTTTCGCTTGCAGCCTCACATCTTCTACACGAGTCGGAATGAATGGTAGAATCTCTCAGAATGTGTTTTCTGTAGTTCAATGTTGGTACCACTTGGTCCTGGATAGCTATCATGAAGGCTTCTGTCTCCGGAAAGAGATCCCCGTGCTGGAGCCATGCGCTGCGACGCAGAGATGTCGACTTCTGGTTTACTCAGCTCGTGAGGTACCTTCCATGCAGTGCCTTTGCTTTCCATAAGGTTATCTTCTCTTCCGTTTCATGATTGGTTGAACAGGCAATCAAGCTTTTTCAAGTTCAGAGGACTATAGTTATTATCAACTGCGCTCACTGCTTGCTGAACTCTCCCGCAATGTTCAAGAAGTATCTTCTGAGTGAAGCAATTTGAGAGCTGTGTAGATTTATGAGATCTACAATACCTCGCCTCCTTGCGACCTTGGAAGGGTAAAACGCTCAGTACTTGAATGTGGATGATGTTTTCGGTGTTGAGTCATAGCGGTTCGAATTGTTCTCTGGAGGTTGTCGAGGTCGGTATTGCTCCATTTAATAACGCCAAAGGAGTATGTCAGCACTGGAATAACAAATGAATTGATGGCCTGCACAAGGTTTCTGTAGAGAGTTGAGTTTTTAAGAGCCCATGCAATCGTTTACACACTTCATTTGTTAGTATATTCTTAGTAACAGTGTGTTTGATTCGGAGTGACTGTTGGAAACCCAAGTATTTGTAAGTTTCATGGGTTCCATGAAGGTAATCTTTGGTTCATTATCAGTTTCGAAATTTATAACTTGCATATGACCTCGAATGATATTCCTCTCCTGCACGTATCCAAACCGAATTTCATCTTAATGTCGTCAGTGAACTTCTCCGTCACGTTATTAGTTGCCGCATATGACTCTCAGTGTCTGCCTAGAGCTTCAGGTCATCCATGTAAAGGAAATGTAAGACACGAAGAAGAGTTGAGTTCCCCTTTTTAAGAGCGATTCCATAATTAGATGAATTAAGTACAGTAGAGAGGGGATTCCAGGCTAACAGAACAATAAAGGGCTTAAAGAGTCACCCTGGAAAATCCTCGCGGATGTGTATAGTTATTATTATTATTATTATTATTATTATTATTATTATTATTATTATTATTATTATTATTATATTATTATTTATTATTATTATTTATTATTATTATTATATATATTATTATTTTATTATTATTTTATTACTATTATCATTGTATTACCTAACGGTTGCATTAATACTAGTAAAGTATGTGTTTATGTAAAACCATTGCTTTATTTTTTATATTAGTCTATTTGTTAAGAATTTCCTGCTTTAAGGCACTTTACTTCAAAACGCAAATCTTTTGTCCGTCAGTGAGTCTTCTTTGGATTTTAGAAATTCGCTATCACACTTTCAGTAAGAACTGATATTCCTATACGTAACTCTTTTCAAGAATTTCCTTTTACATATACGACTTCTCTCAATGTGTAGCCAATTTGGGTAAAATTTCTGTCGGTTAGACATGTTCGTCGATAATGCCAGTTTATCGGCTCAATCCTGTGCATATTAAATGACAAATGGTCATAAAGAACCCGAACGACCTCTTCCAACGGCTACGAAAACATCGGCTGGTCGAACGAATGATGTTTGTCTGAGTCTGTCGATTTCATAAATACCAACATCTCGAAGGTATTCCATTCACCGGAAATCAGCTGAAGAGTCAAGGCCATCTACTATACCAAGACCATCTGCAGTACATGTTGATCTTGACGGTGTTTCTCGCAAATGTTTCAAAAAAACGAGTCGTGAAACTCTAATTATCGAAAATTGCAAAAGCTATAAACAATGAGAGAAAGTGATGCTGATGTACATACTTTCTATAATGTAACGGTTTTACGTACTATTATAAATAATAATGCAACTCCGATCCACTAACACTTCTTTTCTTTGAAAACCTCTTAACAAAATGACCCTAATAAAAGAGGAAAACATTATTTTACATTTTTATAAATTGAAAAATGTTAATGAAAAATGGCACGTCTGTAAATTAATGTAAGGTATTTGTGATATATTATATATATATATATATATATTATATATATATATATATATATATATATATATATGAGAGAAGAGAGAGAGAGAGAGAAAGAGATGATTATAGCAAACATTTCAGTTTATGAGTATAATTATTATAGGAATTTATTTATTTTTATTATTATATGTTTTTTCCAGAACTGTTATATATAATCTTTTTTTATTTTTTTGGAAGAAATATTAATTTCTACGTTGTTTTTGATTTTAGGATGGGGTTATAAGCTGAACATGTTTCATTTTTTTTTTATTTTATACGTTATTGGCTTCTTACCTTTATTAATAGGGAGGGGGTGTCCTCGCGAGAGAATCCTGCGCGTTCTAGACTTTTCTTGTTTAAACTTTGTTACACACACCACACACACACACACACACATATATATATATATATATATATATATATATATAACTATATATATATATATATATGTGTGTGTTTGTGTATATATATATATATATACACAACACATATATATATATATATGTGTGTGTGTGTGTGTGTGTGTGTGTGTGTGTGTGTGTGTGTGTGTGTGTGTGTGTGTGTGTGTGGTGTGTATAACAAAGTTTATTAATAGGTGTAGCACGGCGCAGGAAATTTCACGCGAGAGACGCCTCCCTCGCCTGGCAAGTGAGCTACCTAGTTTGAAACGTCCGTGTCATGTTTGCGGTGTGCCGCAGGCGCGTGGTGGCGAGGCTCCGGTGGCGAGGAGGCGCCGACGCCCTCCGGCCAGGGTGGCGCCAGCGGGCCGCTGCCCTCGCAGCAGGCGTTTCGCCCGCAGCAGCAAACGGCAGCCGCGCCGCCCTTGACACCAGGAGGGGAGGAGGCCGAGGTGGATGGCGCTCTCTGGCGCTCCCTGGACGAGCGAATGCGGTGGCTGGAGGAGAGGTGGGGGCAGCCGGAGCCTGCCCGGAACTCCACTCGCCCGAGCGCCCACGGAGACGCAGCGGCCGACGAACACCCGTCGACGCACCACCTGGTCAGCAGAGTAGAGAAACTGGAGGCGATTGTTCAACGGGTGTTGGAGCGGATGCCAATACAAGATCCAGTGCAGCAGCAGACGGATCAACCTTCTAACCCCACCGCCTCTTCTCCCGTAATTCTCTCTACCTCTCCCCTTTTTTTGAGCTTCAATAGACATCAGCCGCCCGTTGACAGCGCTCTCGAAGCGACATCGACCACGGAAGCCGCACCGACCGAGGAAGAGATGCCGCAACGGGTGACAATCGCGACGGAGGACACGCACAAGAAGACGGGCGGGGCACGCGCAGCCTCTTATTCCCTGGGAGAGGAATTGTGCCAAGCGGCTTACGAAGGGAGACTGGAGGGTGTTCGTCGTCTTTTAGATTCTGGGACTAATATCAATTACATTAACAAGAGTGGACAGTCTCCTTTGATATCGTCGTTTTATTTCAACCGTGATGGCCGCTGTCATCCAGACGTCGTCTCGCTGCTTTTAGAAAGAGGGGCGGATGTCAATCTAACCGACATGGATGGAAGATGCGCATTGCACCACGCTGCTATCTTGCCTTCAAGCGTGCAGTGCGTGGATCTGCTTCTCGCCGCAGGGGCCGACGTAGACGCCAGGAATAACTTCGGGGCGACGCCTCTGATGGAGGCAGCCATGTCTCAAAATGAGGCGACTGTGCGCGCTCTCCTGGCGGCCGGCGCCAGAAAGAACGTCACGGGCTGGAGGTGGCCGTGGCAGGATATGACGGCGTTCGACTTTGCTGCAACCGACGAATTACGAGATCTCCTTCGCGAATGATTGTCGATGTCTCGCTTTCAGCTACCTACATGACAAAAAAACTTAACTCTTTTTACTCTTCGCGTCATGGAATCTCTCAGAGAAGGAATGTTTTCATCTTTTGTTGCTCTTAAAGGGTGTGCTAAGGGGATGATTTTGTTGGCATGTCCTTCTCTTGCAACTACATATTTTTAGTTTTTACTAATACGTTATAGCTTGTTATTGGCTTCGATACGGAGATCGATATACACGGCAAAACTTACTTGGATCGAAAGGGTCGTATTGACGGGGAAAATATGAAAACAGTTGAATGATGATATATGTTCTCTTGTGGAGGGAGTTATGAGAGGGAAATACGAAACGAAACCGACGCAAGTTAATATATAGTTAATTAGTAAACAAGTAAATTTCAATTTATAAAGTTAGGTAAAAAATAAAATGATTTATTTCCAAGGGCATTAACTGGTTCTAATTATCTCGGAGGTCTATAGGCCCTGGGGCATTTTGTCTCCGCTCGATCATTAGAACCCTTATGTGCATATATAACTATTTTATATTTTTTTACCATCCATTATACATACTACAAATCATGTTATAATTAAATATATTATCTTTTATTTTTAAATTAATGTGTCGTGTCTTAAGTCCAATAGGCTAATATTAGGAATAGTATGATAATTCACTCATAAGTCAGACAGTATGGATAACGTTCTTTGAATGATAACAATCGGTAATTTCGGACTTCACTCGGCTAATGAAGGTATTAGTTACAGCTGTTAGTTAAAGAGGGATAAGTGTCCAAACGCAAAGCATGTTGTGAATTTGCGAGATATACTCTGGGATAAGAATTCGTTGGATATTATACAGTGTACGAATTCGAAGTTGTCTTATGAAAATTTTAAAGGCCACACCCAATTCGCCAACTTCGAAAGGCGTACCGACGCGTCATCTGAGATGTATGTATGTGAGTTGGGAGCTGCAGCGTCACTTCAGCTCCCAATTTTACGGCCCCCTATTTGAAACTGCCTTTCTTTTCCCTTTTTCATGCGTGACCTTGAGACGTTGTAACGTTGGCTGAGCAATGTTTCCAGCTAGTATTTAACTACCTTCTCATATTTGCAAGGGATTGTAGGGATGAGTATCAGATTTGCATACGATATCCTGTTTTTTTTTGCCCCGTGTTCGATTCCAGATCGAGCTAAGACTATAGTGTGTGTTTTCCTTTCAATGTCACAATATAAGTTGCTGTGTGACGATGAGAAAATTTACTTCTCAGGTTGAATAGATTGGAATACGGCATGGGGATATCTACGTGCTAACCGCACGTATCCCCTTAACCCATGGCCGCGAGGCAGGGACGTCGCCGTGTCGCCTAAGCCCGTTCACGGGCTGTCGGGCCAATACATATACATCCTGCGTTTTTAGCAATCCCTTTGTCACAGGTGCCTTTGTGCGTACATTGGGCGGTGTGTTTGCATTTTGGTCCGGATCTCATCTGAGTTTTCTCTTCTGCATGTTCACCCGTTGTGTTAACTATTATGAGTAGTCGTAAAACGGTTTTGAAGATTGTAAGGAATGGCATAAAACCTTTTCACTTTATTATAAAAAATAGCCGGATTTGTGAGGCACATAAAACAATATAGACTCATTATGGATATTGAAATATTATTTCAAGGAATTGTAAACCGGGTCGTAAACATTCCGCGAAATTCTAAATTTCACTTACTCTAGCAGGATCGCCCATAGATTTAGACATCACTTGAGCGTTATTGTTTGGTTATCTATTGATATGCATCGTAACAAACTTACTATCATGTTGTTCGTGTATATCTGACAACTTACTGGGGTATATTAAGTAGGTTATGTTAATTAGTGCACAATTATTTATCGAAACATTTACCAAGAAATAATTTCAACAATTGTACTATGTATGTATGTTATTTTAATGTAAATTTTAATTATGTCGCAAATATGTAAATAAAGTGAAAACTTGTCACCAAATAGTATGTTTTATATATTGGTCGCGAAAAGATAGTAATATAAATGATTATTATTGAACGTAAGTATACCAAAAAATCAATTTCATAACAAGTCCGTAAACAATTTGAAAGGAAATCATCTATCGTTTCAATAAAAAAACAGCAGAGTATCATTGCCTATAAGTAATCTCTCTACAACAATAATAAACAAACTGTGACCAACTAGTACAGCATTTTACGCTTTTATCGTGAGTTTGACAGAAATCACTCCAAAAAATGGAAAGCAAGAAGTTTGGAAGAAGAAGGAGTCTCGTTAGACAAATAGGATCGTTTCTTAACCTTCAACCGGCGCATCGAATATCGTTTGTTGAAGATTCCTGTGAACTGGATATCGATTCACGATTAAGTGCGCCAGATAAAACTGATTTTCTCTACTCTCCATCACGTCATTCTTTAGATCATGTTTGTTCATCAGGTAATAAAGCTGATATTTCTAGTTTATTAGAGCGTGTAAGTGATATTGAAAAAGAAATCGCAACACTTAGGGGTATAGTAGAAGTGATTGAACAGAAGTTGCAGAAATATGATCAAGATTCTGAAAATAGGTTGGTTGATACCCATTGTGTTACGGTAGAGCCCTTAGATAAGCGTTCAATGCCGCCGCCTCCTCCACCACCACCGCCACCGCCACCACCTCCTCCTCCTCCTCCGCCGGCGTCGCCATTTTCACTGTCTACGTCATGTCTTCCAACATGGAAACCAATAGATTTCAGTCCCGTCGCCAGTTGTAAGGACCGAAGTAAAGCCAGAGCGTCGCTGGGAGATGTGATCAAAGATTTGGGAAATGTTAAGCTCCGTCATATCGAGAGGACGTCGACTGGCAGTCCGATAAGACATCCCCCTTCGCCAAATGATTTATCTGCAAAGTTGACTGCTGCTCTAAGAAAGAGGTACGCTGCATTCCATTTAAAATCACCAGAGAAAAAAGAGGGTGCTGAATATGAAGATTAAAATTTTATTGAAATGCTAAATTGTTGTTTTGTTTTTTTACCGTATTCCTTTAATAATCTTTCCCAGACTTACCTTGCAGAATGATACTTCTCTGCTTGTACATCTTCTTAAGATCAACGATATGAATATTATATTGGAACATTTAAATGATCTTGAATCCTCGTAAACTCTATTGAATATGTGTTTCATCTTCTAATAGGCATGCCTAATTTTAATGCTAGGTACTAATTGAATCAGCACGAGAAGACAGTGGACAAGTCAAAAATGCAACTTTTTATTTTGGAAAGTTGTTCTTTAAGTCAAGGCAAATTGTACTAGGAAGAAAGGAATCATGCCATAATAGTGTTTAACTGTGTTTATGCGATGAATTGCAAGATCGAGGTAGCTGTAGTGCGCAGGAAGGGATCAAGTCACTGACATGTTCCGTTTCTCCTCAGTGTTATAATTTTGATTTAGCATGTTTGCCATGCGTATCGGGTTATACATGCATGCAGCGGCATATCTACGGTATGGCAGACACGGCACGAGCCATGAGAGCTACTCACAGGGTCGCCATTTAGAGTATACCCGCTACAACAAATAACAAACTTAATTTGAAGTATCCTCACAGGGAGGCAGATTCTAGACTTGCTATGGACGCCTGAATATCTAGATGCGCCTCTTCATGCAGGTTATGCGATACCATGCATGCAATACTACTTTTTAATTTTAATTTTTAAAGAAAATTTAAAACGTATATTTGGTAGATCTCAAGTGGATGTTTGGTCCAAATGGGAAAAGGTTGGTGCAAAATTTAAGAGTACAATTAAACGTGCAGCAGAGGCTGAAATTCATATCCACAAAAAAAAGAGCTGATACATTTTATAAATCAGTGCAAGAAGCTAAAGAGAATTGAGCCATGTGGTTGTCCTTCCAAACTCTTTACAATACGTTATTTGTAATAAATTTGGCCAATTGCTGGTACACAAACATTTTTTGTTGGATAAATGATTGTTCTAAACAAATATAAAATTGTTAAAAAATATTATGTAAAATGTATTGTATTTATGATTTCGGTACCCATTTTTCTTTAGACTTGATTCTGACACACGGGAGAGAGAAAAAGTCAACAACAATTAAACCATATAAAAGTTATTTAGTTGAAAGTACATTAAAAACAATTTAGTGCTATCACTTTGAATGCACACAGAAAAATTGGACAGGATAATACAAAATGTGTGAGTATAATGATTTCTTCCTCCTGCAAAGTTGCAAAAAGTGAGTTGTTCCTTTTCTCCTTAGCCCGATTCAATTACATTTATATAGAATGTTTAAGTAACTTCAGATAAATATACGAAGTCTGGAAAAAATCGTTTCATAATTTTTAATGTATTAAACAAATTAATTTGAAGAGCAAATTTTCACAGGAATAAAATTGTGTCTGAAATAAAATAAATGAATACAAGAACCTAGTTTAAAGTAATTTATTAATTTGCATCTATACATTTTATCAATTATTGTTATTGTTCAGTTGTTACAGTAGCTCTTTAATTCTCTTAAAAATGCATCAGAAAATTAAGTGTGCTACAACAGCTTATATTTTCTGGCATTACTTGTTACGGCTACACAACTTTACACTACTACATGAATTCGAAAAAGTGTTTCCAACCAGCAAAAAGTTTTTCTCCGCAACCAGATTCGAATTCCGATCCTTTAGTCACTTGTAAGATCCTTTAGCCAAGCACCTTACCACCACCACTCGCACGGCTATACTCAAATTTCCGACACTTAAGAAAGTAGTTGAAATAAGTTTTAACTTATGCCACTTTCAAAATTTAATAGAGTTCAATTTAAATTTTTTAAGAGAGTTCAATGGAAATTATACACGCGCCATTTTTAAGCGACCGTATTTGATGAAGTATTTTTTTAATAATATAATTTTTTCAGAAAACTTGTATCATACATATTGAACTGATGTAATGTTACTTTCGAAAATGGGACTAGCATTGTTGTACTGTAGTAGTGTAAAAGACGAAAGAACATAAATAAAAAATGTTGGTGCCTTTTTCAGAAAATTGTTTTAAAATTATCTATATTTCACGCAAAATTACGCTAAAACTTCTTAATTTTAGATAAATGGTACATGACCTCAATTTTAGGTTTATATTTGAATAACAAGCTTCATTTAAAAAAAATTATCTGTCACTGTGTAGTAATTGAGTTACTGCGAGTGTGCGTGTGTGCGTTCATCCGGATCGTTATTCACTGTTAGTCCACTCCCGTGCACCAATGAGGTGTCATTCGACGCGTCTCGTTTTCCTGGTGGAGAACTGATTATTTGTTTGCGGGTCCGGCCAGAAGATTCTAATTCTGTTTTGCGTGAGTTAGCGTTGCGATCTTATTAGGTAGATCGCGAATTAAACCAACTCCACTAAATAGATCTACCTAGGTGGCGTTGATCCCGTACTCAGAGGAACGTTTTGCTCCACGCCATAATATTCTTCCACGAGCATGGCAAGCAACACTGATTGTTGTGGACAAGTAAAAAGCGTGGCAAACCTGTCAATAGAGATGCTGCTTTTAACGTAAGTGAAGTGTTTCATTCGTATTACCGATGTTTTAAAAATAAATTTTTCAAACACCAACGTACCTTTGAACGTATTTTTGTTGAATAACTCTAAGTGAATACGGAGAAAACCAAAACTGTGTGTAATGTTAGAGAGTGGAAGCACATCCATATTGACTCGACACATTTACCATCCTAAGCGTGCTAATACCATTTTCAAATGAATGTGAGTAAAACTTATTCTTATTAAACTTAAATATTTATTTACTTCAAAAGGATTTAAAAAAATGTGTGTGACGTGCTATGGGGAGAAGTTAATTTGAAGTTACATTTATGTCCAGAAGCAAAACAAGGGGCCATCTTCTCAAGCAATTTCTCAAGGATCAGGGAAACTGGACGAAAACCTGATAGATATGGGGATCATTGACCCAGAAGCTGAAGTACTTGTTACAGGTTCTTTAGAATTATACAATCCGAACGGTCAATAATACTGTAAATGTCGTTGTTAAAATTAATATTACTTTCATTTTGGATCTTCAGTGTAGTCTCTAACTGTATACGAACAGTTGTATAGCAGAAAAGATTTTACTTAGAACATAAGCTTTTGTATCGAATTTAACCGTTTAATATTATCTGTCAAGGTGTAATGTAATGTATATTGTGACGTCATGGGATTGTGCAACCCCATAACGCCACCGTCTAGTACCTGTGAACACAAGCAGCGAGGATAGCATACGCGGCGGAGCAGGGGCTCTTAAACGCGCAACATGTTATCAGTTGCCCGTACTAGAGCGCTCGA